CATAGCTCCGTGTACGATAAGATGGTGTGGCAATAGTAGCCAAAAATCTAATGTGAAAAATGACGGCATAACGTTTCATCGGTAAGCTGATTTCGGTAACATAACTTATGAAATCAAATTATTTAAAGTATGTTATAATTATTAATACAAAGATCGAACACTTAGCACAAGTTCCTTCGATCCGGCCGGATTCAAACCGACGCACAGAGGAGTATTTCACCTCAAAAGTTGCTCAAAATGATTTTTTATTTTTATCGATTTGGTATGTAATAAAAAGCAGTTTAAACTCATTATGTTGTATTTAAACACACATTTTTCAATATATTGAAAAAAATTATTGTATATAATTAATTACATAAAATATATTAATCGGACTTGTTGTCGTAAGACCCATGCTCATCTTCATTATACCCAAGTTGACGTTGCGTCCGATGTTGCCGGTAGCAGAAGTTTCTGTGTCTCACTGGATTTACTTTTTTTCTGGGGCAGTTGTCTTGTACTGCTCAAAAAAGGATCAGAAGTTAACAAAATTGTTTAAAATGTCTCTATTACAATTTTTTCATGAAAACTCTCTTGCATAATTCTGCCAATACAAGCGGAAGTGTTTATGCCGACCTTAGCCGTTTCTTCCGGAAGCTGGTCAATAGGTAGAATAGCGCGATCAATTATTGTAGCGCCATGTCTCAAAACTTTGTACATTGTCAGAGTCATTGAATTACCACCCATACAACTCGACATAAAGTTTCGCTGTATGTTCAGCAAAAGTTTCAACATTTATTACATCTATTTGTGTTCACTTGATTAAGTCTCTAAAATAATAATGCATTTCTGTATAAGGTTCTCACTCGATTCGTTGAAATCTTTTAAAGGTCGGTCGGGTCTTTTTATTATCCAGGTAGTTAGACTTATAGTAATGAGCCATTGGAAATGAAACTATTTCTCCGGATTTAAATCAATACCGGAGATAAATCGAAAAAACCAATATACACGATTTAATCCGGAAAAATAGTTTCATTTCCTATGTGTAACAATCGCGAAAACCTAAGAGCTTAGTAATGCGTCATTGTTTATTTTTCTCCAAAAAGCATTATTCATTATTACTAGCGACTATTTATTATCGTTTCAATTGAAATTTAAAAGTCTTTAAAGCATTTAGTGAACCTCGTTCATTTTCATATAATTTCAATATTTTTGAGATGGTCTTACAAAAACACGAATTTGGCAATTTTCTTCTTCAAACATTGTTTCGAGACTTAATACAGTGATTTCCCAGTTATTTTCATCGCCAGCACTGAAAATCCTGAAAAAATATTTATTTTTATTCGTTAGGGTTTTCTGAAAGTAATGCCTGAATCTGTAAATAATTGTACTTTAGAAGTTGTTTAAACACAGAATAGTGTTGAAACATCACGTTTAAGCGCTGAGAACAAAGAGAAGCTACATATGCAGTGACAGGGTTTCGATTGCTGTCTCGGGCGCAGAAAGGGTAGGGCATTGCCAAAATTCCCGTTAAGTGGTGTAACGGCTATTAAGCTTTAACGATACATATTTTGTAGAAGACTAACAAAATTTTTGAAATCGACTTTTGATCGGTTTTTGTTTAGAAATACTCCTCTGTGCGACGTCTTCTAGCAAACCCTGCCAGACGCTCTGCCAACTAAGCCACAGAACGAACCAGCGAAACTCACGAATTTCTTTATGTGGTTGTTTTGTCGGATCTTTGTATTTGGTTTTTAACGACTTTTTAGCCGTAGCCCCATCTATGAGAAATCTATGAAAGTACACACATCAAAAGTGTCTAGGGATCAAGTACGTTTAAGAGTATTGCTGCAATTAGGGTTAATTATATTAACTTTTTTGTATCGCTATTGATACTTTTTAGTGAGTTTTAACATTTAAATAAGGAATATTGTTTAAAATTCGATAATAAGAAGAAAATCGATTGTCAATGTGGTTTTGTATAAAAATGAGTTATAGCGTTTTGACAAAATCATTACAATATCTGCATCGGAACCGAAACAATTTACATTATTATGTAGAGACGACATCATTTAACCCGAGAAGTGATGATGCGAGCCGTCGGAATGTTGGAAGCTGGTTCCAGGCAACGTGCCGTGGCTTTCACTCTTAACACTACACAGAGCGTCATAAGTCGCCTCTGGACGCGCTATCGCATGACGGGCAGCGTGGCCGAGCGACATGGAGGACGATCTCGCATCACGACTCGCAGACAGGACCGGTATATCTAAAATACTGCTCGACGGAATCGTACCATGACCGCCATGATGTTGGTTACGAGGCTCCACAGCTCCTCAGGCTTGCTAATAAGCGATCAAACAATCCGAAATCGTTTACGTGAAGTGGGTCTGCGATCCCGAAGGCCGCTCAGAGTTCCATCTATTGCACCCTGCAATCGCAGGACCCGTTTACGATGGGCTCGCGAACACAGAAACTGGGAGGAAGAAGACTGGCACTATGTGTGCTTTTCGGATGAATCCCGCTTCGGTATGAGACCGGCTACAAGACGTAGTCGAGTTTGGAGAACATCTGAACGTCATGAACGTTTGAGATATTGTCAGGAAGTTCATCCATATGGTGGGGGAACAATAATGATATGGGCCGGTATTTGGATCGGCGGAAGAACCGATCTCATTTGGATCAGGGGTAACCTCAATGCTCAAGTTTACGCAGAGAGGATTGTTTCAGATGTTATCATCCCTTTGCGAGGCCAGTTGGGTGATTCATTTCAACTAATGCATGACAACGCACGTCCACACACGGCTAGAGTCGTAACACGCATTCTTGCCGAAGCTCGTATCAACGTTCTGCCGTGGCCTGCTCAATCGCCAGACCTCAATCCAATTGAGCACGCATGGGATATGCTTCAAAGAAGAGCTGTGCCGAGTATGCATACCGTACATACTTTACAACAATATTTTGACTTGTTACAAAACACATGGGCGGCCATTCCTCAAAGTGATTTTGATGAACTCATCTTAAGCATGCCAAATCGCTGTAATTGTGTGATTCGTGTTAATGGTGGAAATACAGATTATTAATTTTGTTATCTTTACAATAAAAATGAGCAAAATCATCATTTTCGCCATTTTTTTGTCATTTAATTGACGCCGTTAATTTGAGTTTTTTCCCACAATTTGCAAAAACATCAATTTTAGTTTATTTTAATTAAATATAGGGGTAAGCGGTTAAATAAAACATAAGCATTAAAGTAAGAAGTCGTCCTGGAAGACTGGATTTGGTAAATATTGCTTAAATAATTTTTATTTCAAAAATATTCACTTGATCCCTAGACACTTTTGATGTGTGTATTTCGTCACCCAGTTAGATACCTTTAGCTACCAGTGCCGGAATTCACTCCGCGGCACTACCAAGAACACCTAGGCCACAACCATTTTAGAAAAGATCATTTCCCAAGTTGATTCTACTGGGAATTGAACCCGGGACCAAGAATTACGGAATATACTCCGCGGCACTACCTAGAATACCTAAGCCAGAACCATTTTAGGAATGTTCATTTCCCAAATTGGTTCTACCGGGAATCGAACTCGGGACCAAG